GTCAAGACTATATGACAATATTAAAGAGAAGCAGGCAATGGATGCGAACCCATAGATAATCCAGAATTAGTGAATAAAAAATATAAGATAACACTTTGGAGGGGGGAGAGTGGGCAGAGTATTAGAATTAGTGAATAAAAAATATAAAATAACACTTTGGAGGGGGGAGAGTGGGCAGAGAGCATATGCAATTGTCAGAGAGAAACAGAGGTAAACAGAGAGAGGAGAGAAAGCACCCCCAATGGGCGTAGTCATGCCTCAATCCCTTCTCCTCCATTTCTCTATCCTGTATAGGTTCTGGGCACTCGGGCACATGCACTGGTATCTTTTTCAAGCTGTTGAGGCTGGGCTCTGGACTGTTCAGTTGTCCATGTGGGATCTGACTCCCTTAACCATAAGGTCACAGGGTCAACCTAAATAATTACTTTTAGAATGTTGAATAACAGAGGAAATAAACAAAATAGTTGAGAGGATGGAGATTTTCACCAGAGAAATATTCTAGAATGTATTTTTTAAGAAGAATCCAACAGGGATTTTTCACCAGAGAAACATTCTAGAATGTATTATTATTATTTTTTTTTGGAGAGATTTTCACTGTAGGGCGCGTGCGCTCGCCAGACAGACAGAGAGAGACATAGAGACAGAAAGCGAGAAATCACCCCCCAGGGGGGATGGTCACGCCGCAATCCCTTCTCCTCCATTCTCCTCTCAGGATCTTGGGCACGCACGCAAACGCGCCTGGCATGAGTTTTAAGCCACCGGGTCCAGGACATGAGCCGCGGTCGACTACGTGGGAGTCCAGCAACATAGCCATTACGCTAACTGCTGGTTCCCTAGAATGTATTTTTTAAGAAGAATCCAACAGATATTCTGGAACTGAAGAAATGAGTAGGCTTGCAGTTCTAGAACAATGGTGAACCGAGCTAACTGGGATTCCTTTTAAATAAAACTTTTAATAATTTTAAAATACAGCAACAAAAATATTATAAAGCTAAACATGAAGGAAAAAGAAGTTCTCCAGTAACAGGTAAGAATAATAAAAAGGCCAGAATGATAAGCTTGGGGACTGATGACTCAGTGCCCTGGCAGGAGTGGGGTGATACAGCCTATTCTTCTTAAGGATTCCTATTAAGGAAAAAGCAGTTCTTTCAGTGACTCTTCTGTAGGGAGTCTCAGTAAAGCAAGACTCAAAGAACTCCACACATGGGCACATAAAAGGGATGAGGAAAATGGTTCTTTCAGAATCTCTAGGCAGAAAAAGTTCTCTTTAGACATCCATACTCCAAGCCTGTGCCTCATGTGCATGTGGAATTCAAATTTATATAGCACTTGGGATGTAGGAATCCTTAAGAAGAAAAAATATAAAATTAGATTAGATTGGAGTCCATTTTAATTATCTCATTTTATCTATATCTGCAACAACTCTATTTTCAAGTAAGGTCATATTCTGAGGCTCTGAGGCTTAGGGATTCAGCATATGAGGTTAAGGGGCTAGTTTGACCCACAGGAGGGAGCATTTGACGAAGACTAGACAGAGATGGAGGAACGGGCCAGGTAAAGCATGTCCCAGAGAGAGGGATCAGACAGGTCACGGCCCTAACATGGGGGCATGTCTGATGCTTTCGGGAGACAGCAAGGAAACCAGTGTGGCTTGAGCAGACTGAGTCAGAAAACAGCAGTTGATAAAACTGGCAGGAGGAAGGGAGGAATAGATTACATAGAGTTGAAGGTCATTGTAAGGACTGGAGTTTTTGCAGTGAAGTGGAAAGCCATTGGAGGATGTTGAGCAGGGAAGTAACCTGACTTAACTGATATTTAAAAGGATCATTTAGACCTTAGGATGAGGTCTAGACCTATTACGAAGACTCTTATAGTAGACTTATAAATATTAACTTTACTCAGGGGCAGCTTAATGCCTAATAGAATTCACCTATTTTGTTGTTGTTGTTATTATTATTTTGGGTTCTGGTAGTGCCCACTCAGACTTCTACTAGCTAGTACTTATTCTTAGCCACTGGTGATGTTGGCCAGTGTCAAAATAGAAGCCACCTTACCCTGAATGGTTTAGGGCTACAAAAGGTCATGCCCCTGTTTCAAGAGGGTGTAATCTGTACCCTAGAGTTTCCTGTGAGATCAGAGTGAGGCTACTCAACTTACAGGACACTCTTGTTAGCTTTCCCCCTGCCTTAGCTGCTTCCGTCATCTTCTTCCGATAGCGATAGCTCACCTCTAGTAAATCACTTCAGTGAGAATCCTCACCTCAGGCTCTGCTTCCATGAAACCTGACCTAAGACACTGTTGTTTTCTTAACTATCTTTGAGGTTATTGTCTCTTTAATACGATTCATCTCAATTTACCTCACACATTTCATGTAGAGCCAAAGGTTGGTAGCTCTTAGATTCACTGGGTACTAAAGGGAGAGAGATTCACAGGAACCTTAACAGGACCTTCACACCATAATCCACCTCCAGCCCCAGCCTGGATCACAGGCACATGCATGTGCACCCACCGTGTCGGACCTTCCACGTGGGTCCATCGTTGCAGAGCATTATGCTGTTGCTGTTCCACCAGCTGGCTGCAGGGTAGGCTCCTACACTGATGCTTATACTTGACACGATTCTGCTATCTAAGGAGGTGGTCTTGGGATGAAGCCTAATACTGTGTTGTGCTGAAGTTTTAATACTTATCCTTAATTTTATCCATGCATACATACTCAATTGATCTGGGTCAGATCAGACTCTCATTATTTGTTTAAAAGGCAAATCATAACTACATGATTTCCATAGCCCAGTTCATACCTGAGAGTAACAGTACAAATCAATTCAAAATCTCCTACCCATACAAAATCTGCATCCTAGGTCAAGACTGGGGGAAAAAATAGAATTTATCTGCTTATATACAGGAGAAAGAAATAAAATAGGAGGAAGAAAACCTTTGCTCCCTGGAGCCTTGATAGAAAGCATCCTGGAAATGTAAATACATGTCTCCCTCGTGTCTATGGATCTTATGACCTAGGGATGTCTCCAAGGTCAGGAGAACCTATTTTCCCTTGAAATATAAATACAAACCTCTTAGGTCAGGCATAGTCCTCACACTGTGTACGTAGTTCCAAGCCTGCTCTTATCCCAAGACCCCAAGTTTTCAGCAATATTTATTCAAAAGCCCCAGTTCTAGAGAAACAAGAATATTTTCTCTACATTCATGTGTCTGCCTCAGGAACCACCTCTGGTCATAGGCTGGCCAATTTTGCCTTCCTCAAGCTGCCTAAAAGCCTGGCCTAGCTGTAAAGATATCTTTTTGTACCATTGTCTGTTTCTGGGTGGCACAATGGATTATGGTCCTACCACTAACAGATAGTATTTCAGTAGATAATAAAACGGATCATATATATAGTGTATGTTTTGGCAGTCTTGACAGCTTTCAGAAAGACAAAATCCATTGAATTTAACCAGAGGTAATTTGTACATTTCTGAGAGAGAAATTAAAACATTTCAAAAAATCGCCATAATTCTTTCTGCAATTAAAAAGAATCCCAAATGACTTATATATTTAGTGGTGGGAGACAAGTTTTTCAAGAGCCTCTCACGTTTCTGCATGTCTTATGAGCAGAGGCACTGGAAGCTTTGCCTCAACTGTGTATTCAACAATGTTTGGAGAGTGAACAGCCTTTGGAGAGTGAACAGCCTCCAACAGGACATTGGAGATAGTATCCCCGTCTGGAGTAGAGTTAGGCTTGCTTACTGTCTAGTATGAAAAAAACAATGTCAGGGTCAGGCTATGGTGCAACAGTAAATGTGATGTTCTACAAGGCTGACAAACAGGGGAGGGTTCCGGGTTCACATGTGGAGATCTCTCTGAGCACACAGAGCATCCACTTAACCATAATCCAGGGATGGCTGAGGGTCGGGAGTGGATCGTGACTTCAAAACCATAGCAGAGTTTTTAAGGAAATAAAAAGCTGAGTGTATGAAAACAAAGAACATGAAAAAAAATTCCTGTTCAATCGAGTACATTTATTTTGTAGTTTAAGCAAGACAAGTAGTGAACAAATTCATAACAAAAATGCCCCCAGAAAGTAGCAGCTGGTCATGCATGCAACTGACTATGCATGCAAAACCAGGTTGTTTCCAATTCCAGAGTGCAGCTGCGAGTCCTTCATAAAGTTAACTCTGTGTTGCCCATGTGTGCAGGCCACCTGGAATATCTGTTCATGGCTATTTACAACCCATTTACCATGTCAATTCAAAGTCCACACTAGGAAATCGACCATCACCCATACATCTGCCAACTATATGGCCAGCAGGGTAAATAGCATGTTTCTTGTTCTTGTAGAAAATGGCACTGCAGTGTGACACAGACACACACACACACAAACACACACACAGACACAAAGAAGGCACTTCCTCTTACTCAGAGGACAATCTTCCCTATGTTTCTTAGAGACAAAAATGCCATGCAATGTACCATGGATTCACATTCATTCTGATAGGGGCAGGGCAGGTTTGAGCATGGATGGTTAGAGGTCCTCTGAAGAGCTGTTTCAACACAACCCAGCAGACATATTGGCCACAGTGACTGTAAGAAGAGTCTCCTGACATCCTGACAGACATCCATACCCTCTGACTAAAGGTAAGCTCATTACTTGCTGGGATCCTACAACAAGAGATAGAAAGTAGTGCCTAAATTGCGTAGTTGCATGTAAATCCTAGACTCCTCTGAATGCAAAGTCATAAGTTCACAAAGAATCAGGGCTGAGTAGATCATCTCCTCTAGACTGTGCTGGCCTGGGACCAGCAGTTAGTATAATGACTATGTCACTGGATTCCCACGTAGTTGACCACAGTTCAAGTCCCGGACCCGGTGGCTTAAACTCACGCCGGGCGCGTGTGCGTGCGTGCCCAAGATCCCGAGAGGAGAATGGAGGAGAAGGGATTGTGGCGTGGCCATCCCCCCTGGGGGGTGATTTCTCACTTTCTATCTCTCTGTATCTCTCTGTCTGTCTGGCGAGCGCACGCGCCCTATAGCAAAAACCTCTCCAAAAAAAAAAAAAGTGCTGGCCTAGAGAGGTAAAGCAACTTGCTAAATGGATAGCATTTAGCAATCCATTTAGCAGGGCCATTAGAGCACGGTATGCCAACCCTCATTAAAGAATGCTAACGAAGGGTATTTGGCCAGAGTTTTCAAGAAAAACAAAAGTGAGACAGTGTAAATACTTTAATGAAAAAAAATATGTTAAAAGGAAAAAACAAAACCTCTGGTTAATAGCTCACTTCTGAGGAGTCATTCTTCTCTGTCTTCTGTCTGTCTGTCTCTCTTTCACACACACAAACACACACACACACACACACACACACACACACACACGATGGATGGAGATCGCTTGCAGTACAAAGACAGAATCCCTATCTTCAGAAAGACACTTTACAGAGCATGTGTCTCAGTCTAAGTCTTTGTATGAGGTCTGGGAAACTGGCTTGTTTTCTAGAACAATAGGTGGTTCTGAAATCAGGAGATCATCCTCCCCAAAGGAGGAGTTCTGGTCCGTGTTCACGAAGTTGGGGATGTCAAACTTCATGAGCCTGTTCAGCTCCTCCTCTGGTCGCCTGCTGCCTCTGATGGTTTCCTGGAGTTGGACATGGCTGTCCACAGCTGTGGTCTGGTGACACACTTTGGCCCTGTCCATGTGCTCCACCTCATTGATGTAGCAGTGAAAAAGAGACCTGGATTCCTCATTGCCTTGGCGAGAAAACACTTTGTCCGGCTCCAGTGGTCTTCCAAAGTCTGACACAAAGCTGTTCATCCTGAATCTCTTCTCTGAAGACTCTGCATTGCTATGAAGAAAAGGGAAATAAAAGATTGCTTACGTGCAGCCCATTCACCTGCAGAATCACGGTCTTCTGTTTGCAAGGCAGGCCAGCAGATCCTTACGAGGTGCCTACTGGGTCTAAGTCCCCTGGGGGCATGCAGGCAAGCAATAGAAATGACAGACTCCACTTCCAAATATGTACAAGTAAACCCAAGGCAAAAGCCCTAAGATGAAGTCCCCATGATCAAGCTGAAAACAGACATCTTGCTGACGAATCCCCCGATATTCCACACATACACCAGTGTTTATCGGTGGGATTCTTGGATCATCTGCAGTTACCTGAAATTTTTCTTAAACATAAATTCATGGGTCAGATCGTCAGAGTCTCTGATGGTAGGCTCAGTAATCTATATTTTCATAGATTCCCCAAAGATCATTCCCTCTACTGAGGTTACCACAGATCTAAGTCATGCCCACCTGAACAGCAACATTTCATAAGGTTGTGTTTAATATTTCTCAAAGCACTGTAATAATATCCATTTCTCTTCATTTTCAACGCTAGCCAAGAATCGACCAGTGTTGTCATTTAGGCAAGAATTGTTATACTCATTTTACAAATGTATAAACTAAGGTAAGGAGCAGGCAAATTGCCCTCTTGGGTCAGATATCCAGTTTGAGATGAGGGGAACTAAACCACAGGTTTCTAATTTCTTATTTCATCTAGCCTGGAACAAATTAGCAGTTTAATGGTAATAAATGAGTGAATGAATGAATAAAATAACCATCAATTACTCCTACAAGTGTATGAGACTGTGAGCATGGGTAAATTGAAAACCCTGATATCCTATCTATTTTAATCACCATCCTTTCCAGACTTAGACAAGGGTTGTTCATGCACAGGTGGTGGCTTCTTAAGGCAAGAATTATGTCTGAACACATTATCAAACCAGAGCAGAATCTGGCAAAAACCAGACACTAGAGGCTGTGTTCAATTAACGTGTAATCTTAGTAATATCAGTTCTTAAATCTCATCCTTCCCATCCCATCACTCTGGACAAGGCACTTACAACCAACTTCTCTTAAGGATCAGGCAAGCACAAATTCCATTTACAGGTCTAGAAAATCTGATAATATATCACTTGTCCCCAAATTATAAAATATCACCTGGACTTCAGAGGTCAGCAATCCTAGAAGCTTTAGAATCTAGCAATCAAGAAACTTATTCATCAGATCCACTCCTCAGTATGATTATCTCAGAAGGTTAAATGTTTTCCTTAGTAGTAAGACTGGTTAACAAATTTCATTGCCCACTAAACAACTGTGTTGTGAAAATCAAGGATTTACATGAGAATATTATATTCACTATGTCATGTATTCAGAATTTAGAGAAAAATCACATTGGAGAGACTCTAGATTCTTCTGTTTAATGCAAATTTAAGTGGTTATCTTTACCATTCAGTAAGTGATTTTCTTCTCAATTGTCACTTTACCCAGCAAGATGTTGAGAATAGGAATGTCATGCCAGCAACCTAGGCCCTAATAAGCTAAAATGTCACCTAGGAGAAAGAAGACTGCAAGCATTTGGAAAAAAACATGATTAAGGTATGTAGGGCCCAGATCATTCCCTCATTGCTGGGCCAAGAAGCTCTGAAAAATGACTTTCCTGCCTGCCTGGAGCACCTGCTATGTGTGACAGCAACCTGGAGACCCAACCGTGTTCTGCAGCTTTTCCATAACACTGCCACATGTCTCAGCAGTAGACTTAGGTCCATTAACTACTCTTGCTGGAGCACTAAGACACTGGAGGCCAGGAGTTTGTCCTTGCCAGGGCAGAGCCAGGGAAGTGGACGTTAAAGCCCTGCAGAGATGCCTTCCCTGTCTCCAACCCTTGAGATAAACCAGTGCTCGTGTGGCTGCCCTGTTCCACCCTTGCTTTATCCTGCCAATGACAGTAGTGCTATTTGACTGATTCCATCTCCCTGACAACAGTGAAAAGTTCATCTTTGTTTTCTTAGAGTCTAGTAAACATTAAATACTTGTCCTTTTATTTTCCTTTTCTTTCCTTGACTAAGGTTGTGGTCCCTAGCCCTTTCCAGCATCAGGGATAGACCTTGTAGAATACACTCCCTTCATGGGTAGTGGGGTGGGGTGGGATTGATCCCAGGATGACCCAAGTACACCAACCGCATTCACCAAGTGCCATTTCCACCACAATCACATTGCAATATACAATTAAATAATCACACAACAATAGGGTTTGGGCTCCTATGAAAATCCAATACCTCCACTGATCCTACAGGTGGCAGGACCCAGGAGGCAATGGGAGTGACGGGGAGTGGCTGCAAACACAGAACCTTGCTTATTTGCCCACTAGGCAACTGCTGTGCCACAGACTGGCACCAGTCCCAGGACCAGGGATTGAGGACCGCTGAATTAAAGGACCTAGTGAGAAACTGATCACGGACACCTCTTGCTTCATTTCAGATACTATTCACCCCAACACTGGATAACACTTGCATACTGCAAAATGTAAAGATCTTAAGTTTTTATTCAATGAGATTTTATTAATGTATATGCTTGTGTAACCATCACCAAATCAGGCAACATTTATTTGCTTTTTCCTAGAAGTTTCTTTCCACTCAATTTTCATCATCTTTAGGCAATACACTGTGATTTCTATTGTATTTCAATTGATTGGTTTTGCTTGTTCATGACCTTTCAGTGTACTTTCATCTTATACAAACGATCAATTTTTATTTCTATCACCACAGATTAGTTTAGCCTGTTCTTAAAATTCACATAAAATAGAATAATACAATTTATAGCATTTTGTGCCTGGGTTCTTTTGCTCAGTTATAATGTTTTTGAAATTCATCCATATTGTTGCATGTAAGAACAATTTGTCCTTTTTCCAATTGAGTAATAGTCTACTCTATGAATATACTATAATCTGTTTATTCATTCTCCTATTGAAGGGATTTGGGCTGCTTCAGACTTAGGGCTATTATGAATAAAATTGCTATGAACACTGTTAAAATTTTAATTTATGGATACATATTTTTATTGCTTTTGAATAAATACCTAGGAGTAGAATTACTGGGTCATATAGTAGATATATGTTTAACACTGTGAGAAACTGAAAAGATTTTTCAAAAATGGTTGTAACATTTTATACTCCTGCCATAATATATGAGTTATAGTTATTCCACATTCTTGTCAACATTTGGTGTTTTCAGTATTTCTAATGTTAGCCATTCTAATAGGACTGAAAAGGTAACACCTTGTGATTTTAATATGCATTTCTCGGATGGCAAACAACATTGACCATTTTATCATGTGCTTACTGGCTATTAGTTTACTTTATAAGTGTCTTTACAAGTTTTTGCCCATTTTAAAAATTGAGTTGTTGGTTTTGGTTATTGACTCATAGAAGTTTTATAATATATATTGAATATAAGACTTTTGTCAGATAAGTAGATATTGCAAAGATTTTGTCTTAATTTGTGACTTAGCATTTTCATTTTCTCAAAGGATGACTTTTGATGACAGAAGTTTTAAATTTCAATGAAAATCAGTTCTCAACTTTTTTTGTTTATTGATTCTTATACCCTCTTTAAGAAATAATTGCTTGCCCCAATGTCATGAAGCTATCCACCAACGCTTTCTTCTAGAGCTATATGTTCCAAGAAAGTAACCACTGTCCATATGTGGCTACTTAAATTTAATTATAATTATGTAAAATTCAGATTTTGGTCATATTACCCACACTGCAAGTATTCAATGTGGCCTGTAGCTACTTAATTGGATGGCACAGAAAACCTTCCCAGCATCACAGGAAGTTCTAACAGTGTGGATCTTGGAGCTTTTCACTTTGGGAATATGATCCATGTTGAGATAGAAGAAAAGGTCATTTTTTTTCCCTTATTGTTATCCAGTTGTTCCAGTACTGTGGTTAATAAGACTTTCCTGTGCCAGCAGGTGGTGCAATGTTTCAGATTCACATGTGCTCCACCATAGTTTGAAATTCCAGACCTGGCAGCTTCAAACTCATGGCAGGTGCATGTGCGTGTGTGCCCCAAATCCAGAGAAGAAAATGGAGGAGATGGGATTGTGGTATGACCATCCTTCCAGGGGATGGTTTCTCACTTTCTTTGTCTTTCTTTGTGTTTCTGGTAAGCACACATGCCCTATAGCAAAAATCTCTTTCCAAAAAAAGAAAAAAGAAAAAAAAAACGACTTCTTTTAATAGATCTAATATAAAAAATATATTTCTACATACTAGTAATGAACATAAGAAAATGAAGAAACAACTTCATTCACAACAGAATAAATCAGGATACTTAGGAATAAATTTAATTAATAAAGTTCAAGACCTGTATGATGAAAAATTTTAAACATTACAAAGGGAAATTAAAGAAGACCTACATGGGACCACCAGGTGGAATAACGGTTACATCGCTGGACTCCCACATAGTCGACTAAGGTTTGAGTCCTGAACCCAGTGGCTTTAAACTTACACCAGGGGCACGTGTACGCATGCCCAAAATCCCAAGAGGTGACTGGAGGAGAAGGGATTGGAGTCTGGCCATCCCCTCAGGGGGTGATTCTTACTTTCTGTCTCTCTGTTTCTCTGGCAAGCACACACTCCCTATAACAAAACTCTTTCTCTCTCTCAAAAAAAAAAAAAAAAGACCTACATATATGGAGAGATAGATCATGCTTGTGGATTGGAAGTTCTCTTATGTCATCCCAACTTTTTAAAAAGTACAATTTTTATTTTGAAAGGACCCTGAGCCTTGAAACCATTTTTCCTGCACTTAATTTGTTGAGAGTTTGTTCTCTTCATTTTTAGCCTGCTAAAAGAAACACAACTTAGACTTAACCTATTGACTACATCATCAGCCAGAACAAAAGACTGTTCCGAGTGCTCTTGTCCATTTCTTCTCACCGTGTTGGCATCATATATCCACTATCCTTCTGGACTTCTCTGTACCTGAATGAGCACATCTAATGAGGACCTCCAGT